TGACTCGGCCCTGTTTAACCGATACAACGAATCTTCGTGCGACATCGATCAACCTGCTGCTGTTCCTGACAATTCTCCCGACTGGCAGTCAACCATCTACCGCCGACTTTCAAGTTTACATTCGTTTCGCCGATACGACCGAAATCAACTGTAGCGGCCATCCCCCCCCCGGGTGCCCCCGTATCGCAAAAGGTGATGAGGTCACGAGAGGCCCGCTAACATTTTCGAAGACGTTAAATCTGACAAGGTGAAACAACATAGACGACAGAACGAGGATATATATGATATATGCTAATTTATTCTAGAAAAAAGAATTAAAGGTGGTCGGAACGGTAGAGATGCAGATGTTCCGGTGCAGGCATTGATGGTCGAGGTTGGTCGTTACAGATGATCGCTGCTGGTCATGAAGGTGGTCGCTGCAGGTGATCGCTGTAGTTGATGTCGGTCATTGCAGATGATCACTGCTGGTCGTTGCAGATGATCGCTGCTGGTCATTGTAGTTTGAGGCTGATGTTAGTTGTTGCCGGGATGCCAACTTGACGCGTTGGTCCAGTGCAGGCGTTGCGTGTTTGCCGGTCGAGTCCGATATTAGTAACCTCCCGTAATAATTACTAACATAGTGTACGGGAAAGGTTATGGGCGACGTGCAGGCAGCCAGTAGGAATGCCGAGCATCGAACAGGGCCAAGGAGCCAGGAGTAGTAGGCGAAGGAAAGTTTCAAAAAAAAAAAAAAAAAAAATGGGAGCGTAACTTAATACGCAACCCGGGTCGACGTCCTGGCCCACGGAGGCCAGGAGCCTGCGTACCAACCGTTTCAGTCGCCGACTGAGATTTATTTTGTAAAAATACAAAATTATGGCACAAGGCCGAAAAGGGGGAGGGGTAAAAGGCTGGTTTCATTAACTATCTTATACCTAGCTAATTTGATTCACGACCCATTCAGACATTACAATTTACTCATTCACCATAAGAACTCGTCCGTCACCAATCAATCCTCCATGCACCATAATACCACATCCACTCTAGGGAGACCTACAAAACGCGCCCCGTGTCATAATAATTTAATGATCCTAACACATATGTACAAAATTCTAAGATAAAAAAATGAGAGGGTGGGGGGATGAATCCAATAACGAACTAAAATATTAACATAAATGAAATTAAACGTTAACTGATGTTAGTAGGGCCCGTCCAACCCTCAAAAGGCAGGGAGACCACTGTATTCTGCCCATTGGAACAAAATCAAGCAGCTCTCTCGCTAAGGGAGTGGGAAAGGTGATAAAAAAATCATACGGGCATGGGGTAAGTATAAATCTGACAGAAAGTGGACCCTAAATTTAGCGAGAAGTCACTGTCTTCTGGTAAGGGAGACTAGCAAGAGAATTGGGTAAGCTAACACAGTAAAGTCTCTATAAAAAATAAGTCGAGATTAGCTAAAAGGAAACTAAGGCCTAAAAATGTCTAGAAGTATATTACAACTAGGTTTGTAATATAACTAAACTAAAAAGGTAACTTGCTAGTCTCTACCAAGGGTTAACAGCGTATAGGGAGCACAACCGAGAGGTCAAGGTCGAAATGACCAGTTCTCTTCCGGTTTAAGGAGCCTAGGAGGAGGTAACTCCGACACAACTACCCCTAAACAAAAACCAGTCATACCGTACCCGACACCGATGCAAACATATTTCTCCAGAGTACACTCTTGTACATTTTGGATAAATAAAATCGACGTTATTGTTTCTTAAACCTCTGCCTTTGTCCCATCATTGTCTTAGCTGTTCACACCTTTCTTCGTAAAGCTTGCGGGGGCGACATCCTTATCGGCCCCGCAACAAGCTCAATTAAAAAGTGTTGACCAACCAGCCGTCTCTTTCATCCATTTTAAAGCCTTGTGTTAGATTTACTGTAAAATTAGTAATAAATATACTTATATTGTGATCTATGTTTATTCATATTATATACAAACTTATAATTGTTTGCATTATTAAATCTAATTGTTACATCTACCAAATCATCAGTCAATATTTCAATGGAAATTATTCTTACATTCTGATTCATGCATAAAAAAGACCAATTTCCAACCTTTTACCACAGAGTTAATTTATGATTTGTACACAAGAATAGGGAGAATTTTATAAATTTTTCGATAGTATTCGGTATGTGATAACTTTTTGTGAAAATATATGCGTGTTTGATTTGTAATATCTAACGATATTTCAGAGTTACCTCCCTTTTTAGCCATAAACGCCGCAAAAGGTGTTATTGTTAAATGTAGTGTAGTGTATATGGTACTCGATAACATTATGTCTTGGGACACTAAATTGAACTACTCATAAAAATATGGAAAATTTTTTGGGGAAAAAGTTTTTACTGATTACCATTCTTAATTTTTTTTATTTCTTACTTGGGCCATGACAGTAGTAGTCAGAATAGAAAAATAGATTTGTTATCGTTTTTATGGTCCCGTTTTTAATATAAATGAACTATACACTACACAGTGTCAAATCGACACCTGACTTTTACACAGTTATGGGCCTTAACTGTTTTGCTTATGAAAACAGACCTTTTTGAAGTGGGGGTTACAGAAATATTCCTCTTAAATGAACGGATATATAAGTAAAGAATAAAAAATTACGTAAATACATTTATCCTTTAAAACATTCATCCATTTATTCTTAATTTAAAACTAAAATAAATAATTATGAACCCCCAAAATGTTTGTGCATGTACAAAAAAAATCCTAACCCTCCTCCCCAACAAAAAGTTTAAAAATGTCAAAAAATATATGCAGATATCAATGATGTCAGTACATTTTCAAAATTGACATTTGTAAATTAAGAGACTTAGCCTTAAAAAAAAAAAACTCTTCAAAGTCAGGGATTGATTTGACACAGTAAAAAAAAAGCTCGTCTCTGAAACAATAGCAAATCAATATTTTTGAAAAGTTTAACTCTAAAATGCTAATCAATAAACATTTTTCCCACCAAAATCTTCCCTATTTTCATTAGTGGACCAGTCTATTTAAGTAGTAACTTACTTGCAATTCTTGAGAGTTGTTATTGGAAGGTGATAAGCAGACTACACAACGTGAAAAATAATTAAGTAGAATGGAGAAAAGGTAAAAAAAATATTTAGATGTACAATCCTTCAGAATCCAGTAGCAACCAATGAATCATTTTATTTTTATTTAAGGAATTTTTTGTTTGGAGTTTGGAGATGTTAATGTGCACCCAAACTTAACCAATGTTGAAGCATTGTTGCTATTATTGTTTTACGCTACAGCACTCTACCAAATAGTAAAATAACACTGTACATGTTAATTGGGTTTCGTTAGAACAAAATAGCAATTGTAAGATATCTGGAAGTACAAGTTAAGACAACTTATGTGATTTGTACTGTGTATGACGTCACGGAAACTTGCGAAGAATTAATTCCCGCTCGCAGTGGAAGATCCAACAAATTAAGTTAGTGAAATAGCCAATTTCCTTATTAAAAAAAATTAAAGTATGAAAGATCAAAACAAGTAATTACTTTATTAAACAAACAAAAATGTAAAGAGGTTAAATGTGGGCGGGGTACTAAAAGGGCAATTCCAAAGAGGAATTCAAATTTGCTTGATTGAGTGGATGTGAATTCCTATAAGTTTCCGTGACATAGCACGCATTTTTGCACGGACTACAGTTTCGAGTCATTTTGGGTACTAGTTGTTCCAGTCCGTAAGCAATGATATCTTACAGAATGTCGTTTTTGCACCAAAGGAGTTCCAGCAGCAGAGAGTAATGAAGACAATCATTCACACACACATTCCATTGCATTAGGTGCAATTGTAATCAAAACAAACATCGTGGCCTTTTGGGTAACTTAAACTAGTTTGTTTGACTATGTCAGTTCGATCTTCACTATTTGTCACATGGCCTTGTGCAAAAAAAGCTAAGCTCAGTAAATAGGAACTATGTTGTCTTTGATTAAAAAAAAAAATTATTATCTAAGGAAGAAAGCCCGATTATTTTTTTACAAGTACCAAACTTCGTTCAGTCACTCACTTTAACTACAAACGAAAAAGGATGACAACTTTAAACTGAAAACAATTAATTATTGAATAAGGCTAAAAAAAAATTATAAAAAATACAAAAACTGCCAATGATTAAAAAAATGTTTGAATTTTTTTCCTTATTGGACTAAAAATTACTTAGCTATGCAACTCAATTGAATACACACTTAAAAAATACCAACTTTATCACGAATCTTAAAATAATTCTCTTTTTAAAACAGTAAAAAGTAAAAAAACTAAAAAGGAAAAAGCTGATGTGAAAAAAAAAAACTAAATAAAAATAGGAACAACCTTGACCTTGAAAGAAAACGTATAAGTAAGTTTGTTTAATGTGCTACTTAAGCCGAACATGGAATAGTAAGTCGTATGTAACGATTGAATATTTATTTAATTTAGATAAAATAGAATATTTTTAGTTGAAACATTGAAATATTTCTTCGTCTAATAACGACAACAACAAACATGTGACGGACACGTGATCGAATAGCATTTCATTTTTCGATTAGTTGCGTCTGGCAGTTTTACCGACCTTTCCCTCGAAACCCGCTTTTTCTGCTTTTCTTTTTGATAATTAGAGCACACAGAAAAAACAAACAAGGTTCTTTCCTTTCTTATAAAAGAATGATGTAGATTTGCTTGTCGATGTTTTTTTTTTTTTGACCATTGGAAATATCCAGCTGATCTAATAACATTGACCACTTTAATCGGGCTTCTTGTTTTCTTCAGGACCTTGCTTAATTGTCCAGCCAGTCGTAGTTTTAGTTTTTTATTTGCACAACTCCACAATAAGGAAAAAAAAGTAACTAGTAACTAAATTATTTTGTTTTCAAAAACACCTGTTTCTACTGTGTTCGGAATCACACGCGCTTTACAGAAGAGGAAACAAATACGATACAAACTAAAAAGGAGGGAGATGCCGACTCCGAGGAGCTTGACGACGTACACCAGGACCATGCTTTCCAGATTTATTCATTCATCAACCAACGCACAAATAAGTGCAAACCTCATAACACAGGTTTAATTACGTTTTTCTTTACATTTTAATCATTTTTTTTTTTTTACTCTTCTGATGAGAATATTACTTTGACTTTCTCATGTTTTTTCAATTTTCTTAATCACACATTATAACTTAGTCGCACTATCCTTTTTAAAAAAATATTTGCCGTGTAGCTTTTCGCCTTTTTTTATTTTTTTGTGTAAACTACAATTTTTAAAGTTTCCATAAAAATACACTTTCAATTGTGATTATTAAATTTTCAATCCAGTGCTTGCGATTATTTTAACATTTCGTTTATTTTGCAGGTTTTAATTCCAATTAACTTTTCTTTTTTTTTTTTTTAATTATTTTAACGCACAAAAAAGTACTACTAAAACTCACCGCACACCTTAATTTTTTATTATGAAATTATACTTATAAAATCATTTCTTTTTTGTCTCTCTCAAACCAAATACTGAAACTTTTGCCATTTCGAAAATTCAGTCCTTGGAATGCTAGAGGTCAGTGTTCGAACCTGAGTAAGAACTTAAGAAGTAAAACAATAAACCCGATTGTTCAAAAAAACAGGTTCTCTCCGATTTAAGATTTGTGTACAACAATTTTTCTTGATCACATTTCTATATCAGATTGTTAGGATTATTGCTAATATTTTGATAACTGAAGCAACTGCAAAATTCTCTAAAAAAATAATTTCTCTAGTTCGTTAAATTATCGAAAGTTTTTTTTTTATTTTTATTTTATTTTTTTATTTACAATCCAAAGTTCTCATAACGCAATTTAAATTTTGTTAATATCCTGAATTTGAAATTTCTTGATTTTCTATTTCTCCATTAAAAAATGTAATTGGTTAATAAGTAAGTTTAAAAAAATACTATCGCAGTGAATTTTGCAAATCATAAAATCGGGGATCAATTTCAAAAGTAGTACTTTTTTTATTTTTAATTATTTTTCATGCGTTATTGTTCACATGCCAAATTTAGCATTCCCTGCTAAAAACTACTTAAAATAAGTAAACATTTATTTTTAAGAATCGAATTTTAAAGTTTCTAGCTCCCAATCAACATATATAATCGGTCAATTTTTTTAAACAATTTCCTTTAGCCTTTCCTTCAACATAAAAATATTGTTGCGTTATTAATTTTTTGTTTTAACATGCATATAATTTTCTTTAGTTACCATAACCCCTTGCTTTACACACGTGGTCCGGTCTTTTCTCGAGAGGCATTGTTTTCTTTTTAGTTTTTTTGTTTCTCGGTTTTGTTAAAGCATGATGAATTGAATAAAAAAGAGAAAAATGTGCCTGTCCGGGGTGTGAAAGGCTGCTAAAAATTTCATACTTGATTTATTTTTTCGAGTAAGGATATTTATTTTGTTTCTGGTAGTATACAAAGAATTTTGGCATTGAAGTAAAAAAAATGAATAAATAAATAAATGTATTGTAGCTATAAATATTTTTTATGCTTAGTCGGCTCTCTAAAGTTATGTGGGCTAATTCGGTTTAGCCTTGTTTTACCCTTGACTCACCGGAAAGTGCAAGAATGCGCTCTAAAAACATCTCTAGCAAAAAGTCACAGCTGTAGTTTGAGGTTTCCTAGCTAGCCCCACTGAACTTATAGTCAATTCAGGTTTGCTAGGGTAAAAATTTTCTATCCCAAGTGAATCATCAAAAAAAAAAAAATGGCAAAAGTCATTTTGTCACAGCTTATTTTCTCTCAAAAAATGGATTTTCATACTTTTATTATAGGAGTATTGAAAAAAATGACTGTTTTACTTTTATCATCACCTAAACTAAACAAATAACAAGGAAACTTTTGATCTGAACCCCATGAAACTAGGTATTTTCTGAAAGCAAAGAATATATTCTTTTATTTAAAAGTAAAATTGACTGGCGTAAAATAAATGCCTCAAATTTTTTTCAGGGGGTAAAATGTAAAAAAATAGTGAAAATTAACCATTTTTTCTTTTTTGGGAAATCAGAAAGCCTAATCAAATTATTTCAGGCATAAAATTGAGAGTTTTGAAGGAAATCAACATTGACCCGGCCACGATTGCAATTCCTGACCACCAGAAACCAAAAGTTTTTGTTTTTTTCAAAAAAATAGCAGCGATAACGAAAATTGAACCAAATTGACTTTGACATCTCTGGGTCAAAGGTCAGCCAGCCAGCAATAAACGTTTAGAACAAGTTGTAATCTAAGTCTGTCCCTTTTGTCGCCCAAAAACGCATAGCATGAAGAAAAAAGACCCCCAAACAAAATTTTATCGTGAAAAAGTTTATTATTAAGATTAAGGTATTTTTCAATTATTTTTTGAAAATTTTTTTATTTGCAGCACTTTTAAATTTAGGTTGAAAATCTTGTTTTTTTTTTTTTTTTTTTTTGTTTTTTTTAGGTAAAAAATTAGGTAATAATTAGCGTTACTTGTTTTTCACTGTTTTCAGTTGAAAAAAAAACATTGATTTGGAAAATCTTGCAAAAATCAAGTACTTGTTGGATTTTAATGAAACCTTCAGAACTTATTCACAAATGAATGAAATTATTTTAGAAATGTTTGTCCTTTTGAAAGTCATGGTATAAATATTTTTTTTTTATATATGTTACACCACTCGAATTTAATTTTATGAAAACTTAAAAAAATTTTTTTTTCAATTAAATGCACAAGACTCTGAGGATTCTAAATCATTGATTTTTTTTTTTTTTTTTTTTTTTAAAAAAAAAAATGCACAAATTGTCCAAACTTTTACCTCAATTGTAAAAATACAAAACCCAATAAAACTAAGACCATATTTAATTAAAAAAGCTTTTTATGACTTTTCTGAATAATATATACTAAGGTAATTTTTATCTGAAAGTTTTTTTTTTTTGATGAAAAATGAATTTTTACAATAATTTTTTTTTTTTTCTATTTTAAATACACAATATGACAATGTTGTTATATATTTTAAAATTAAGTTTCTTTATGCAACCTTATGGAAATGACATATTATGTTCTCTACTTTTTAAAGCTCATTAAAATTTGACAACCGTTGATATTTTTAAAACATTTTTAATATTCCAAAATTGTATTTAAAATCGTCTCCAACGGAAGTATGGATGCACAGCTTTGAAATAATGTCACATGAGGTAGACTTGTTTCTCTTGATAGAAGCAAGTTCTTTTTACTTCAGAAATTGCTTTGCATTCGTTCAGTTAGCAACACAGCAAAGTTTGAAATCGATTGCATAGCATTTCAATGTTAATTTTATTAATAAACAAAATATGTATGGAACTCCCATGACTGCCATATCACAAGTATTGATAAATAGAAAAAAAGTCTACCTTAATAAAAAGAAATAAAATCTCATTTCATTAAGTTAACCCGTTTCAATTATGAAATTTAATGGTGTTTCATGTAATTTTTATATTCTCAGAAAAATATTTTATGACAAATAATACAACTCAATTTAAAAAAATGTTGTTACTGTTTTATTTTTACTTGTAAAATTTAGTTTTTTTTTCATAATTTAAATGTTATTTTCAGTGCAGAAATTTTTCCTCAAACGTAAGGTAAAAAAAAAAAAATTTGAAAGTGAATTTTTTTTTTTTAAATTTACTAATCAGGTTCACTTAAAATTAGAACGAATTACATCACTTCTGTGCTACCATACGATAAATTCCTTTAATGTAAGTTGTCAATATATTGACGTACATCAATTAACGCCCCTCAAACACGCACCTAAGCAAGCATCACGGTTGGAAATATCTCTATTAAAAAATTTCTGCTAAAAAAGTAAGTAATGTTTGTTTCAAATTACATTAAGTATACTTTAATCATTCTAAATTTCCTATGATAACAAAAGAAAAATGTGTAACTGAATTTTACATGATTTTTGTTTTATACATTTGATTTTTGTTTACAAACTTGGGCAGAAATGGCCGATAAGATCGAATTTACAAAATTTTTTTGATTCGAGAAAAACAAGATTTTTAAGTAAAATTTTTAACACTTATAGGAAGGATTAAAAAATCTGAAAAAATATTCAGAAAATACTTTGGTCTTCCCTCTTTAATACTAACATAAACATTTACACATTAAAAATTTTTTTTATCAATTTGGGGACCCTTTTTCTCCAGGGTATACCACTTTTTAGTGTTATATGGGACAGACCTAAAAAAAACCCACCACTTTCAGAAAGAGCAAAGTGTGAAAAAAAGGGGTCAATGTTAGTAGGGCTTGATATAACCTATGTTTGAACAATGGCTTGATGTTTTATTTTGTTTTTAGCACCCCGTGACCCGGGTGATGACAACAACACTTAACAGACAACATTGTTTTTTTTTTTTTCGCTGCATATCTTTTGTATTTCCCATCACCAGGCCATTTAGCCCTTCCTTTTATTTAATGATGTTCAAACCAAATTAAGGAGAAAGGGATGAAGTTTGAATGATATTATTTTGAAGTGAAAATAAATATTTTTTCATAAAAAAAGTGATTTTTCTCAGAAAATTGGGCATAATTTCTTAATGCTAACTGCCGAGTGACATTTTCCACAGCCAAATTGAAGATTAATTACCAGTGAATAATTCCATGTGCAAACAATAGCCGTCTAGATCCTATAACATTGCCCGAAAAGGTCCAGAAGTTTAATGATTGATTGAAAACTTGTTGCGCATAATTGTTTTTCACGGTCAGTTTCCATTATTTCATCTTGATGTCATTTTCGGACAGCCAAGTCATCAAGGATTCAGGAAAACAGTTTGGCACAGGTTTGCTTTAAGAACTTTACATTCTATGAGGGGTTTAAAATGTTACTGATGAATGGGATTTTTCGCCGAATATTTCGTTTACGTGCCATGTTGGATTTTCCTATATGACAAAAACAAGGCTTTTAAACAGCCGTGAAGTGGAAACGATGTGTTGACATTTGCTTTTTTACCTGGCTTCTTAAACAGAGTGCAAATTTCAACAATATTGTCATTAATTTCAAAATTAAAGTATGCACTTTGAACTTAATTCTGAGCAAAACTAGTTTGAAAAGA